CTTCATTATTTCTTGCGATGAATTAAACTGAAACTACATTTAAGTATTCTCTACAAATTGTTCACTATATGTCAGCATTAAACTTTTACCGTTTTTGAGATATTTCACGTCAAAAAACGGTCAAAAGAGGTCATTTTTCAACTTGCTTCAATCTGACCAAATTTTTTTTTAAAAATCATCTACAAGTTCCCAGGAGTCCAAATCTGACTTCAGATTTGACCTTTGACCTTTAGTTGACCTTCAGTGACCTTCGAAAGGTCAGAAAAGTTGATTTTTCAAAACGAGTCTTTGGATTCAAATTTAGGTCAGTCTAATTACAAAAAGCCTACTGAGGTGTAAAAAATTAAAAATTTCAAGGTCAAAGGTCAAGGTCATCAAATTAGGTCACAAACTATGCTATCTAAGTTTCTCATGGTTCAAGACTACAAATCAATATTTTTAATTGAAAGTCAAGATATACATTTCTCTAAGGGTTCTACACATATTAGTCATTGACTATTTATTAAAATTGTGTCCCAGTTTTGAGATATAAGAGCTCAAAAACTGAAAAAGGTCAATTTTTCAGAGTTTATAAGGTCAAATTTTAACTTGCTTCAAATTCACCCAATTTTTTTTTGAAAAACATCTACAACTTCTCAGGAGTTCATATTTAACCTCAGATTTGACATTTGACCTTTAGTTGACCTTCACTGACCTTCGAAAGGTCAGAGAAGTTGAATTTTCAAATTGAGTTTTTGGATTCAAACTTAGGGTTAGCCTAAGCATAAAAGACCTACTGAGCTCTAAAACAGTAATATGTTCAAGGTCAAGGGTCACGGTTATCAAATTAGGTCAAAGGTCAAGATCTAGGTCAAATCTAAAATTTTTTCAAGTTTCTCAACTGTGTCCTTATACTTCATTATTTCTTGCGATGAATTAAACTGAAACTACATTTTAGTATTCTCTATAAATTGTTCACTATATGTCAGCATTAAATTTTTACCGTTTTTGAGATATTTGACGTAAAAAAACGGTCAAAAAAGGTCATCTTTCAACTTGCTTCAATCCGACCAAATTTTTTTTATAACTCATCTACAAGTTCCCAGGAGTCCAAATCTGACCTCAGGTTTGACCTTTGAACTTTAATTGACCTTCAATGACCTCCAAAAGGTAAGAAAAGTTGATTTTTTAAATTGAGTCTTTGGATTCAAATTTAGGTCAGCTTAATTACAAAAGTCCTACTGAGGTCTAAAAAAGTAAAACTTTTCAAAGTCAAAGGTCAAGATCATGAAATTAGGTCACAAACTGTGCTATCTAAGTTTCGCAAAGTTCGACTTCAAACCAATATTTTTAATCCGGAGTCGAAATATACACATTCCTCTAACGGTTCTACACATATTAGCAATTGACTATATAATAGAATTTTGTCCCAGTTTGAGATATAAGAGTTCAAAAGTTCAAAAAAGGTCAATTTCGAAATTTTTCAAGGTCAAATTTAAACTCGCTTCAAATTGACAAAATCTTTTTCTCAAAATCATCTACAAGTTCTCAGGAGTTCTCATCTGACCTCAGATTTGATATTAGTCCTTTAGTTGACCTTCAAATTGTCAAAAATGCCTAAGAGGGCCTCCGTGAGATTGCTTGCAATCTTCCAAAGTCTAGTTATTTATTCTTCTCTGCACTTTTTCTCCTACTTCTAGCTAGCTTTGAATTAACTCTTATATACTCCTAGTAGGGACCTTAGTTGAAATTGGCGGGAAAGAAATTTTTATCTAGGTGAAGGTCAAAGGTCAAAATCTAGGTCAAATCAAAGTTTTTTTTAAGTTTCTCAGATTTCGTCCTCATACTTCATTATTTCTTGCGATGAATTAAAATGTAACTAGATATAAGCATTCTCTACAAATTGCTCACTATATGTACGCGTTAATTTTTTACCGTTTTTGAGATATTTGACGCCAAAAATCGGCAAAAATTGGTCATTTTTCAACTTGCTTCAAATGAACCAGATTTTTTTTTAAAAATCATCTACAAGATCTCAGGAACTCAAATATGTCCTTACTTTTGACATCTGACCTTTGGTTGACCTTCGGTGGCCTTCGAAAGGTAAAAAAAGTCGTTTTTTCAAATTGATTTTCTGGATTCAAATTTAGGTATATTTGATCACAAAGGACCCACTGAGGTCAAAAAAGTAAAATTTGCAAGGTCAAAGGTCAAGGTCATCAAACTAAATCACAAACTGTGTTTTCTAAGTTTCTCAAAATTGAAGACTACAAATCAATATTTTTTCATGAAAGTCAGGATATATATTCCTCTATAGGTTCTACACATATTAGCAATTGACTATTTATTAAAATTGTGTACCAGTTTTGAGATATTGGAACTCAAAAACTGAAAAAAGGTCAAATTTCGAAACTTTTCAAGACTAAATTTCAACTTGCTTCAAATTGACCAATTTTTTTTTTGAAACTCATCTACAAGTTCTCAGGATTCCAAATCTAACCTTACTTTTGACCTTTGGTTGACCTTCAGTGACCTCCGAAAGGTAAAAAATTGATTTTTCAAATCGATTTTCTGGATTCAAATTTAGGTATATTTATTCACAAAAAACCTTCTGAGGTCTAAAAAAGTAAAATTTGCAAGGTCAAAGGTCAAGGTCATCAAATGAAATCACAAACTGTGTTTTCTAAGTTTCTCAAAATTGGAGACTACAAATCAATATTTTTAAATGAAAGTCAGAATATATATTCCTCTATAGGTTCTACACATATTAGCAATTGACTATTTATTAAAATTGTGTACCAGTTTTGAGATATTAGAACTCAAAAACTGAAAAAAGGTCAAATTTCGAAACTTTGCAAGACTAAATTTCAACTTGCTCTAAATTGACCAAACTTTTTTTTAAAAAGCATCTACAGGATCTCAGGAATCCAAATCTGACCTTACTTTTGACCCCTGACCTTACTTTTGACCCCTGACCTTTAATTGACCTTCGGAAGGGAAAAAAAAGTTGATTTTTTAAATCGATTTTCTGGATTCAAATTTAAGTATATTTGATCACAAAAGAGCTACTGAGGTGAATTAAAGTAAAATTTGCAAGATCAAAGGTCAAGGTCATCAAATTAAATCACCAACTGTGTTTTCGAAGTTTCTAAGTTTTGGTGACTACAAATCAATATTTTTTCATGAAAGTCAGGATATATATTCCTCTATACTTTCTACACATATTAGCAATTGACTATTTATTAAAATTGTGTACCAGTTTTGAGATATTAGGACTCAAAAACTGAAAAAGGTCAAATTTCCAAACTTTTCAAGACTAAATTTCAACTTGCTTCAAATTGACCAAACTTTTTTTTTTTAATCATCTACAAGTTGCCTGGTGTTAGTATATGACCCTAGATTTGAGATTTGACCTTTGGCTGACCTTCAAATTGCCAAAAACGCCTACAGGGCCTCCGTAAGATTGCTTGCAATCTTAAATCTCTAGTTCTTCTTATTCTTATTCTATCAAAGCATTTTTCTCCTACTTCCAACTAGCTTTCAACTACTTACTATATGCTCCTACTAGGAACCTCGGCTGAAATTGGGGGGAAAGAAATTTTTATCTAGGTCAAGGTCAAAGGTCAAAATCTAGGTCAAATCTAAGTTTTTTTTCAAGTTTCTCAAGTTTGTCATTATACTTCATTATTTCTTGCGATGAATTAAACTGAAACTACATTTAAGTATTCTATACAAATTGTTCACTATATGTCAGCATTAAATTTTTACCGTTTTTGAGATATTTGACCTCAAAAAACGGTCAAAAGAGGTCATTTTTCAACTTGCTTCAATCTGACCAATTTTTTTCTAAAAATCATCTACAACTTCTCAGGAGTCCAAATCTGACTTCAGATTTGACCTTTGACCTTTAGTTGACCTTCAGTGACCTTCGAAAGGTCAGAAAAGTTGATTTTTCAAATTAAGTCTTTGGATTCAAATTTAGGTCAGTCTAATTACAAAAACCCTACTGAGGTCTAAAAAAGTAAAAATTTTAAGGTCAAAGGTCAAGGTCATCAAATTAGGTCACAAACTGTGCTATCTAAGTTTCTCATAGTACTACAAATCAATATTTTTAATTGAAAGTCAAGATATACATTCCTCTAAGGGTTCTACACATATTAGCAATTGACTATTTATTAAAATTTTGTCCCAGTTTTGAGATATAAGAGCTCAAAAACTGAAAAAGGTCAATTTTTCAAAGTTTATAAGGTCAAATTTTAACTTGCTTCAAATTCACCGGACTTTTTTTTAAAAATCATCTACAACTTCTCAGGAGTTCATATTTAACCTCAGATTTGACATTTGACCTTTAGTTCACCTTCAGTGACCTTCGAAAGGTCAGAAAAGTTGATTTTTCAAATAGAGTTTTTGGGTTCAAATTTAGGATAAGCCTAATCATAAAAGACCCACTGAACTCTAAAACAGTAAAATTTTCAAGGTCAAGGGTCACGGTTATCAAATTAGGTCAAAGATCAAAAATTAGGTCAAATCTGTATTTTTTTCAAGTTTCTCAACTTTGTCCTTATACTTCATTATTTCTTGCGATGAATTAAACTGAAACTACATTTTAGTATTTTCTACAAATTGTTCACTAGATGTCAGCATTAAATTTTAACCGTTTTTGAGATATTTGACGTCGAAAAACGGTCAAAAAAGTCATTTTTCAACTTGCTTCAATCTGACCAATTTTTTTTTTAAAAATCATCTACAAGTTCTCAGGAGTTCACATCTGACTTCAGATTTGATATTTGTCCTTTAGTTGACCTTCAAATTGTCAAAAATGCCTAAGAGGGCCTCCGTGAGATTGCTTGCAATCTTAAAAGTCTAGTTGTAATTGTTCTTCATCATAGTAATGTAAACAATTGATTAGCTCTGTGTCAAGATGCCACAACTCACCATTATCTATTTCAAAAAAGAAGCTATTGATATTTCAAACTAATGTATATGTATCTTGTATGAAATATTCCTAATTCTGATTGCAGGGCTGCAGGAGACCCCCCTCCTGCATGCAATTTGGCAGGGCAATTTAGACCTGGTCAGCCATCTATTAAAGCACAAGGCTGATCATAGCCAGAAAGACTCTCGTGGTGTGACCCCTATAAAGCAAGCCTGTCAGCATGGTACTCTTGCAATGGTGAAGGATCTACTTGACAATGGAGTGGATATTAATGAGACCACTGTCCATAAGTTTACTCCCTTGCATCACGCAGTACTTGGTGGTAATGCAGACATTGTTGAGTATATACTAGATGAGGGTGCTAACTTGAATGTACAGTCATATATGGGAGACACACCATTCCTCCTCGCAGTTAAGCTCAACCATATTGACATTGTGCAACTATTCCTAAGCAAGGATATAGACCTTAAGTTTGAGAAACAAGGAGAGAGGAGTCTTAGAGAGTCCCAGAGTTCTGAGATTATGAAGCTACTGCTAGATAAAGGCATATGTGCAATGGAGGTGGATGAATGGGGTGACTCAGTTTTCAAGTCCATAATAGCCCAGCTAAGGAGGGACTCTTCTGATGAGCCTTTTCAGGTTTTGAAGCAGATGTGCAGCCATTATGGGTACAATAACCTTGGTAAGTGGCAGGATGTTGTGCTCCACATGGCTGTGTGGAATTGTGACATTGAGATGACTAAGCTGCTCCTTGAGGCTGGTGCCAACCCCAATGTCGCCCTAGACTCATACTATCCCTTGATAACTGCAATGGAAAACTATTCAGATGATATTTTTAAACTGTTGATACTTTATGGTGCTGATATAAACCCCACCAAAGGTGCTAATCCTTTTATCACTGGTTGCCAAGGAGATGGAACGTACCTTATGTTGAAGATCCTTTACACTGCTGGCTGTGACCTTGACCCCTTAAGGTCATGGATAGATGAAGGTAAAGCAGTTCAGAAACTGCAAACTGACGATGTTGTTACATGGAGTTGGATTCAGGATGTTGTGTCTCAGCCACGCTCATTGAAACAACTGTGTGGAATTGCAATCAGACAATTGCTACACCAACCCATCTATTCACCAACTGAGAAGCTTCCACTACCGAAACCCCTCAAAGAGTACCTATTGTTCGAAACTGAGTAATTATTTCAAACTGAGAAACAAAAATCAAGAATCTCTCGTTTGTCAGTTATCCATGGTGGATGCACTAGGGACTCAAATATATATTCCAGCTTCATAGTTGTCATTTACAGTCATGTGTATCTGTACATGTATGTATGTTGATTGCTCAATGTACTGCTGCTGGAAATAGGTGAAATGCAATGTATAAAAAGTTAATGTTCAGTATTATGTGGAAAATGGTGCTTTTTAATGCTCTAAATAACCCAGAGTATGATGTGCATCAATCAGCAGGGATTTGCCAGTGTAAAAATTTTTAAACGTGATAAAAATTAGAAGGAGCCAGAACTAAAAATGGTTATTTAGTATTTTCTTCTGTATTTTCAAATCCTGGCTACAGGTCTGATCATTCAATAAGGATAAACAATTTTTCTATGTTAATTCATTACTGTGCTATTGTAATTATATACATCTGTATTGTTAAATCCAAAATGTTTTCTTTCTCAAAGTCTATTCTATTGAATGTTGAAAGTTGTTTCTGTTGCTTTTGAAATTTTGACTTTTAAGAATTTTTGTATAAATGTTTATTTTAAATAAAACATTATTTGAAAGTTGTTATTTTGTCAAGATCAAATTTTGAGTTCTTGCCTTAAACTTAATTTGATGAAATTCAATGTCATTGAGTTCACCTACAGTATCCTTTCAAAACAGGAATACTTTCTGTCTGTTACCGAAAGTAAAACTTTATACAGAAGAAAACGTTATACAGTGCTGATTTGATCCAGAAATTGCTAGATCCAACTGTTCGAAAAAAATTACTGTTATAATTACTGTTGTTAAGTTAAAACTACAGTTTTGCAGTTAACTTTAAATTTAACTTGAAAAGTTTAAATGAAATATGACTGATGTATAAATGTATTTAGAAATTGTTTGAAATATGTCTGCTACTGATGTTATGTAATAGTATATTGCCAAGTCAAGTTTAAAACAAAATATATTACATGAATATTACTTAATTTTATAGTTATTTCCTATTTTTTCCCAAGCGTCAAAAAGATGGCGACTAAACTAGTTTTCATGAACTTTTTGTTTTCTAACTTGATAACGCTTGTTTCGGCAACATTTACAAAATGTGTCGACTTGACCTTACTAATTCCAGTTGCATATTTTGGTGGAGGAACATAATATCAAAAATTGTTTTTGCTAAGATAAATTAGGGGGTAGGTCACCATGTCCCATCTTGCAGTTTTTGCAATCTTCAGCATTCTCAGTGGTTCATAAGTGTAAAACCTTACATTTAGACAATCAATTTAATGGTGTTTCATTTAAATGTGAAATAAAAGTTGGTTACATATAGAAAAAATATGTTGAGATTCACTGACTACATACATGTATTAGATCTTTATGTAGTATGAGCTACTGCTCTATGCAGTGTTGGCCTTTTTATGTCACCACCCCAAGTTGTGACATATTATTGTTAGAGTCTCCAATTTTTTGTAACATTGCGCTGGTAATAAATGGCTACTGTAACAAATGGCAGGTGTTGACATTTTGCTTGTTAATGCTTTGTTTATCAGTGTATTGATTTTAAGAGGCTAATTTGGGAGACTCGGATTTCATTAAAACATTGAGTGGGAGATAATGTAGCTTAATGTTTCAATAAGACAATGAACAGGGGGATGGAGATTATGCTATTTGTTCAATTAGGTTCGGGATAAAAACAGTGATATGTTGATCTTACCATTAATGATGGCTGGTTCAGAAGGGAAAGAGTATATGGTAAACATGCATTTGAACAGGTAGCTAACATTCATGTAAACTTTACACAGCTTCTTTTTTTTATTACAAATAGTTTATAAATTTATTACATTTTCTTCATAACATTCTAAAGCAGCATTTCACTTTACAAAGCATGTCACACTGCACCTTTAACATATAAAACCTATCCATGTCTAATCTTTGTCTAATCTCAATATGTGTACAGTGAGAGAAAACAGTGCAGGTTGTGTAGAATATAGTACAGACTAGTTCAAACTTATACAGGCTACATGTAAAATACTCTGAAACATATACAGTATAAAGATAAAGGAGCTAAAGGCAAAGTGATAGAAAGATTTTTGATAAATAAAGAGTAGAAAGGTGATGAGAGAAAAAGAAATGAGAGAAGCAGAAATACAACGATTGTTAGAGATGAATGAAAATAGAAAGTGTGAATATTGGAACTAGAAATATTGAAAGAGAGTAAGTGAAAACATGATTAGAAAAAAGAGAGGTTTGATTATTAGAATTTATAAGAAAATGTGTGATAAGTAGAAATAGAAAGATTGTAAATGAGAAAGTGTGATGGTTTGAAATAGAAGGATTGTTAGAGAAATAGTTAGACAGGTAGAAATAGAAAGGTTGTTAGAGAAGACTATGATGAGTAGAAATAGAAGGATTGTAAGACAGTAGCTGAGCTTGATAGAAATAGAAAGACTATAAAGAAAGTGTGATGATTTAGAATAGAAAGATTGTCAGAGAGAAAGTAAGATTGATAGAAATTGAAAGATTTGCAAATGAGAACGTGATGATTTGAAATAGACAGATTGACAGATTGAGAAGTTTGAATAAGTAGATTTAGAAAATTTGTAAGAGAAAATTGTGATAAGTAGAAAGATTGTCAGAGAGAAAGTGAGGATTTGAAATAATCAGATTGTCTGAGAAAAAAGAGAGTTAAGTAGAACTAAGAACTTGTTAAAGAAGATTGTGATAAGTATTAGAAAGCTTTTAAGGGAAAGTGTGATGATTCAAAATAAAAATATTGTTATAGAGTGTGAGATAAGAAGTAGCAAGATTGTTACAGAAGATTGTGATAAGTAGATATAGAAAGATTGTAAGAGAGAAAGTGAGATAAGTAGCAAGATTGTGAGAAAGTAAAATCAAAATAGGAAGATTGTGATTGATAAGTGTGATGATTTAAAATAGAACGATTGTCTGAAAGAAAGTGAGATAAGTAGAACTAGAAAGATTGTTAGAGAATATTGTGATAAGTAGAGATTAGAAAGATTGTTAGAGAAAGTGTAATGTTTTGACATAGAAAGATTGTCAGAAAGAAAGAGTTATGTATGTAGAACTAGAAAGATTGTAAGAGAAGATTGTGATAAGTAGAAATAGGAAGACTGCAAGAGAAAGTGATACTTTGAAATATAAAGATTGTTAGAGAGAGAGCGTGAGATAAGGAGATTGTAAGGGAAAATCGTAATAGTGGAAATAGAAAGATTGTAAGAGAGAAAGTGGGGTTGTAAGAGAAAGTGTGATAATTTGATATATAAACATTGTTACATCGAGAGAGAGAGAGAGTGAGATCGATAGAAATAGAAAGATTGTATGAGGGAAAGTGTGGTAATTTGAAATAGAAGGATTGTCGGAAAGAAAGAGTGAGATATGTAGAAATAGAAAGGTTGTTAGAGAAGGTTGTGATAAATAGAAAGATTATAAGAGAGAAAGTGAGATTAGATAGAAAAAGTGTTACAGAAAATTGTTAGTGAGAGAGTGAAATAAGCAGAAATAGAAAGATTGTTAGAAAAGATTGTAATAAGTAGAAAAGGAAAGATTGTAAAGGAGAGAGATTGATAGAAATAGAAGTATTTTAAGAGAGAAAGTGTGATTGATAGCAATAGAAAGATAGTGTGATAATTTGATATACAAAGACTGTTAGAGAGAGATCAGTAGAACTAGAAAGATTGTTTGAGAAAGTGTAAAGATTTAACATAGAAAGATTTTCAGAAAGAAAGAGATATGTAGGAATAAAAAGATTGTTAGAGATAAAGTAAGATAAGTAGAACGAGAAAGATTGTTAAAGAATATTGTGATAAGTAGAGATAGAAAGATTTTAAGAGAGAAAGTGAGATAAGGAGAAATAAAAAGTTTGTTTGATGAGATTGATAGAAATAGGAAGATAGTGAGAGAGAAAGTGTGATGATTTGAAATAGAAGAATTGTAAGTGAGAGAGTGAGATCATCAGAAATAGAAACATTGTAAGAGATAAAGTGAGATCGATAAAAAAGAAAGATTGTAAATGAGAGAGTGTGATAGATATAGATGGAGTAAAGGAGAAGGATATGAATCGAAATAGGAAGATTGAAAGTGTGATGATAAGAAATAAAGATTGTTGTAAAAGTATGAAAGGTTGAAGTATTGTAAAAGAGAAGGTGAAATTGTAAATTAGAAAGTGTGATGAACTGAAATACAAAGATCACAAAAGAGAAAATGAGATAGAAGTAGAGATAGAAAGAATGTAAGAGAGAAAGTGAGATAAGTAAAAACAGAAAGATTGTTAGAGAGAAAGCGAGAAAAACAGAAAAGGAACGAATGTTGGAGTAAAAATATGATAGGTAGAAAAAGAAAGATTTTTGTAGTGAGAACGTTTGATAAGTAGGAAAGAGATAATTAGACAAAGAAATGTAAGAGTAAAAGTATGATATGTGGAAATGCAAAGATTACAAGAGAAAGGGTAAGATAGGTAGAAATAGAAATATTGTTGAAGAGAAGGTTGAAATTGATAGAAATAGAAAGTCTGTAAATAAGAAAATCTGATGATATTAAATAGAAAGATTGTCATAGAAAAAGTGAGGTATAAGTAGAAATAGAACGATTTTAAGAGCAAATTGAGACAAGTAGAAATAGAAAGATTACAGGGGAGAAAATGAAATTGATAGAAGTAGAAAGATTGTAAATGAGAAAGTTTGATGATTTGAAATAGAAAAGTTGTCAAGAGAGAAGGTGGGATAAGTAGAAATAGAAATATTGAAAGAGAGAAGGTGAAATTGATAGAGATAGAAAGATTGTACAAAGTGTGATGATTTGAAATAGAAAGATTGTCAGAGAAAGTGAGAAAATTAGAAATAAAAAGATTGTTACAGAGAAGGTGAGAGAAGTAGAAATAGAAAGATTATAAGAGTAAAATAGATAGTAATATATGATAGGTCAAAATAGAAATATTGCAAGAGAGAAGGTGAAATTGATAGAGATAGAAATTAGAAAGTGTGATGATTTGAAAGATTCTCAGAGAAAGTGAAACAATTAGGAGTAAATGATTGTTAGAGAGAAAGTGAGAGAAGTGAAAATAGAAAGATTGCAAGAAAGAAAGCGAGAAGTAGAAAAAGAAAGATTGTAAGGGTAAAAATATGATAGGTAGAAATAGAAATATCGAAGGAGAGAAGGTGAAATTAATAGAGATAGAAAGATTGTAACTTAGAAAGTATGATGATTTGAAAGAGAAAGATTGTCAGAGAAAGTGAGATTATTAGTAATAGAAAGCTTGTTAGAGAGAAAGTGAGAGAAGTGGAAATAAAAAGATTGCAAGGGAGAAAGTGAGAAGTAGAAAAAGAAAGATTGTAAGGGTAAAAATATGATAGAAATAGAAATATTGAAAGAGAGAGGGTGAAATTGATAGAGATAGAAAGATTGTAAATTAAAAAGTGTGATGATTTGAAATAGAAAGATTGATAGAGACAAAGTGAGAGAAGTAGAAATAGAAAGATTGCAAGAAAGAAAGTGAGGTGAGTAGAAATAGAAAGATTGTAAGAGAGAAAGCGAGATGGGTAGAAACAGAAAGATAGTAAGGTATATATTTATAGAAAGAAAGGCAGAAATTAAGATAGGAAAGTTTGATTGAAAGCATTACAAGAAAATACTTCACGGTTATAGAAATGCGATAGCCATATATTCGTGATAATACTGAATTTGAATACAATAGTGTGGTGGTCTCTAAGTCGTGAAACAAGCCTGTCAAGTCATCTAAGCCGTGAAACAAGCCCGTCAAGTCATCTAAGCCGTGAAACAAGCCTGTCAAGTCATCTAAGCCGTGAAACAAGCCTCGTCAAGTTATCAACGCCTGACGTTGGGCTGTCAACGCTATACTTCAGAAGTATGTCTAGGTTAACCTAAACTGTAAAGCGAAGCATCACTACAAGTCTATACACTGTTATGGATCAATTGAGTATCTACATCAGTATCAATATAACATTAACAACTACGATTTCAATTCTTCCGTAAACAACGTACATTGTGTACGTTTGTATTAATATAAATATGTTAAAGAACCGTCCAAGGCCCCGTGGGTTCGTTTGGCACTTTCACTGATTGAGCACTTGTGAATTTTTCTTCATAAGAATCGTTTGACACTAGCATCATACTTAAATCATTTAACAGTTAATGAACCAAAATAATTTCAAATATATATACATGTTCGATCACTTAAAGTGTTTAAGTAGGTATGAATGCATACTTTTACCTATACTTTATGTTAATTTGTCAAGATGGTTGTTTGCTGTAAAATGATCTGACTGCGCTGAATATAAACGTTGCAAGGCCAACAATGATGATGAACCATGTGGGACTAAATTCAGTGGCAGATGCTAAAAATGTAGATGATGCCACGAGTGATGCATAAAACTGCATTATTTTAATTTCATCCTCCCCGAGACTTTCGAAACATGAATATAAGGAGCACTTTGGGGAGTTACTTGAGATTCCTGGCAGTTGTTCCGCCGGCATTGTTAAGCAAGGTTGTGTCCGATCCCTGCAGATAATGGGGTCCTCCATAATGCTTGTATCCTCAGCAGTTTGTTTTTCAGCCATTTCTTTCTCCAAGAGTTCCTTTTCTTTCATCTCTTTTTCTATTTGCTTCAAGTTGAATTCCTCAATAAGGTCACTTTTTGGGCGTTCTACTTTAATATGAATATCCACGTATCCACTTTTGTCTATATTATCCATATTGCTCGGTTCAGATATTGTTTGTCTGAGGAGGGACGACTCTGATTTGTCAATTTCAGATGAAAAACTCAGCAGCTCTGGAGTAGAGACGACTTTTGATGCTACAAAAGGAGGGAAGGATTTCGCCTTCTCTGGTGTCTCGGCCGTTCCTTTCTCCTCCTCAGTTTCAGCCAGCTTTTTTCGTCGTCCCAATATAGGAGACTTGCTATCACTGACATTTTCGAGATATTTTATTATACCATTGCCCCTATTTTTGTTGTCTTTATCGTCATCATTGACTGTGTCAATAGTCTGCTCATTTGATTCGTCATGCAGTAGAAATGTTGGTCTCTCTTGGTTCTTCTCAGTATTTTCCAAATCTTGTTTCTCTGGTATGGACGTGATCAGCTCCTCAGTCTTGTCATTGATCATTTGGAAGACGTCGTCGTCATCGTCATCAGCAGCACTGTCATCATCGTCATAACGATCGTCACTACTGAAATCTGGACTAATGCTTCCATCTGTAACAGAAACAATAAACCAGAGGACCATTACAAGAAAAGCTACAAGTGAAAGACTTCTCATTTAAAGCAATGGTATGAATGAATCAAGATGAAGCGGTCACTAATGATTCCAGAGACATTTTTTCGTCTGTCACATAAACATAAACAACAATTGAATATTTAATCTGAATGGCTGTGTTGAGGGACCCCAGGCAGTCTAGTGACCTATTATGCTTAATAGTATCATTACTATCAGATCATTTGCAGACCTAGTTTTGTGAATCATCATCCTAAATGTGAAAGTGGCTTATAATGTACAAAGTCGCAAATGTATTTGTGTTTATTGGAATAATTTGAAATAAAGAAATACAATATATATAAAAAAAATCTGAATGACACGGAAAAAATTATTATTTTTCGTCTGTTTTCTGTACCATTCTCTTTCGTGTAGTCCTCGGGGTCACTTAACGTGCGTTGCTTCTTTACGGTCCTTGGCCAGGAGCGGGCTTTGCGAATCTTGTCATAGTCTATAGGAGAGGGGGGTAAATGACTGTACTCTTCCTCCTCTCGTTCCTCCTAGAATATCAAAAGAGTTATAAAATACAGGAACAGCTCTGTATAGTGAACACATTTCAGTCCTCTAGAAATAATAAGAGTTCCAGTGTGGGGGTGTTAATCTTAGAGTGAATTAACATCAGAGAGAGAAAGTGTCTAGTATATTTATCATTATTATTAGGCTAGAGAAGAGACCTACCTTAATGGCGTCCTCCACAATAGTTGCAATGTTAGGAGGGAAGGCTATTGGACTTCGGACCGGAGAGTGGGAAGATTTCCTCTTGGGACGCTTGGGTTTGGTTTCACCTTTAACACTAACGTAACTAAAGGTGGACGTGGACCCTTCGCAGTTCTCAGCTTTACACTTATATGTCCCTTCATCTGCCTTGGCTAAGTTTTCAATTGTGAGAAGAAGTAATCCCATATCACGTTGTATGAGATACCTAAAATTAATAAAAGTAATATCATACATTTATATAGAATTTCCATTTAACCAAGGCAGGTGAATATCAGTATTAAAGCTGCTTTGTTGTTGCTCTCTTGGGGCTAACCTTAACATTGAGAATACGCCAAGGTTATAGGATGTTTTACTAATTATGCCTATATATAAATTATGAGGATATATTTGCGCAGACAGCTAAACCTTATTTCAACACTGAAGAGCCAAACTAGATCCAAGTCCGTTCGTAACTTTTAAACTTTGAACCTAGATATCTTTGCCTCTTTGGCTTACTCTTGTTGCTTGCAGTTTACGTACCGTTCATCCTCATCGCTGAGTTGGTCCTCATCTTTGAACCATTTCACAGAGGGTGAGGGGAAGCCCTTTACTTTGCTTTCCAGTACAATTGAATCTCCGGCGTTCTTCTCCTCATAAGCTGAGAGACGCTGGATAAATTCAGGAGCTATAAGAAGAAGAATAGAATGAATATGTTAATTTCTCATTATCATAGACAACGGTTATATTAATATTGATTTGGTCGGGCTTCTTTAAATTCAATGTTTTGCCATATCAATTCCACCCCTCCATGGCTCCATCATTGCGTTAGTTGTATTGGAGATGATTACCCACATTAATTAATAAGGTACAATTGCATCAAAATGTTTACATAAAAGTCGAAAAATTCAGAGGCCAAAGAGAAACCTCAAATCAATAGAGTGAGAATCCCTCGAACGCATGGTTTCAGAAATCCACTCTCACAGTGACTCTGCGACCATCGCAACTTAGTATCATCATGTCCTGCTTTTTGTCAATATTGTTCGCAACTGCTAGGATCTTATCTGTTCTCAAACTGAAGCTATCAATTCTTCCTTTTGATGGCAGGGCAGAGATTAATGAGCAACGATTCGGGCTCTTTGGTACGGATGGGGTATCTCAATCTTTATGAATTTGACTAAGGGCAGTTTTAGACGTTTCACATGTTCTTCCATCCGTTAGTTGATTACGCCTTCGACAACTGCTCTACTTTGAAACAATCTCCGTTCATGATGAAAGTATATTGTTGAGGTCAAAGTTCTAGCAGAGACAGAAGGGAAAGATGATCTAAGCTCAAAAAACAAATTGCTAAAACATATGACGGAGAAGAGTTAGATGACAGATGAGCGCAAAAAGTCAGATTGAAATATGCATTCTATCCCAAAATCATAAAAGAGGCGTTTTATCAATTCTACAACTATGGCACGATGATTCATTTTTGATAATTAAACAGCATGAACCGGAGACTTGGAAAATAACTTCAACCAGGGAATGCTAGTTATTTTTTCATCATGTTTATTTTGTGATATAGTAGTTCACCTTGAAATCTATGCCACCCTTGCTTGGCAAGGTATGTTGATTTATAACGACCAGTTGTTCGTTAATATATGTGTTTATATTTAGAAACTTTTTCTGGAACATCGTCTTGGAAACAGGAATGAAAAGTTTAAGGTCTGATGTTGCTGCTATCTGGAACTGTGTATACCTGAGTAAAAGAACCGAAAACGATTGAACTCTGCATGAGACAATTTTAAAGTCCTTACATAATGGACCTTTTAGGGTTTGCCCATTTAATTCGGATAGTCTCGTTTGTGTTAGAGTCTCCAGGCTCAAGTTCAAATTTGAGTCAATTACTAAATTAGCGGCATCTTTGGCCTTGTGCCATGTTTGCGCTAGATTATGATCCATCTCCCAGTCTCGATTCCTTGATCTTAATTATTGATCTTATTACTAAATGAAAGTCAAAATAAAGAAGCAATGTCTTGGCGCCAGATTACGCTACACTGAGTAGTGTGGTAAAGTTATCAGCCTAAGAAATAAAAGGCATCAGGCCCAATATTACCATACGAGGGCTTTATGACTTTCAAACAAACATACTTTCATATTGGGGTTCATAATCATCAACAAACAACTGTTTTCTTTTTCATTTCAGTCATTTTTTCATTCTTATGAATACATTTAAGGTGGGTGTACAAACGGAAAGTGACTGGAGCGTTTAAAGATGAAATATATTGTTTCCGGTATATCTTAATAAAAAACGAGCAACGACACAGTTACAATTGCTCTTAGAATCACGTACGCCTCCATCTCAACTCCAACCCCGTCAACAACATTGTTTATGTGGTGGAGATATCAAATGAACACAACCTGTCCAATTTTGATACAGTTAAACACTGTTTCGACAACGATATTTATTGCTTTCTGCGCCAGAGAGATGCAAGTGGGTCACCGTGATATTCAAGGGCAAGACTCTCTTTAGCGTCAAAATATTCAAGGAGACATCTCGTTTCTCACACATAAGAGGCCCTCAAGATAGACCTACATAAATCAAGATAAATTAAAACTGCCAAAGGGTTCTAAATTCAATTAGTATTATATTCTTGCAAAAGTGTATTTCTCTCGGGAATACTTTAATTCCTTTAATATATAGGTCTGGATTTTGATAGACTCGTTTTCGCTAATGAGCACCGATATTTCCTCGTTATTCTGGAGTAATGGGGGAACATTTACGTTTTTGAATGGTAGCCCTAATTGCAAAGTGTTTCCTTTCAAGATACACCAATGATTTCTACATCTCTAGGGTTCCCATGGTAACATCTACAATCTTGTTATCTAGTTGACTAAAAATAGAGTGAGTAGACGGGGCGAATGAAACCAGGATGATGAATTACACCTCACGGAAGACACTGATATCATCATTCTTCATATTAGAGCTTATTAGTGGGGCTGGTCATATTTGATAATATACATGTTACCAAATATTTACCAAAATATTAGCAGATTCCAGATTCCAGCTTTGATTTCATTAACTAAGTCAACATTGAGGTCAATTTGGCAGATACTACTAGTATCAATACTACAATATAATTATATTTATTATACTTATTCCATCTACATAAATTGATAAATAAATAAACATAAATAAAAAAAATCTGTCATTGTGAATTGTGCACATTAATTTTGTAGTGGATTTGACTATTCAATTCTGTTGAATTGTATTGAAGAACGGTTGAGTTGTAGATTTGCATCAAAACTTCTCTCTTCCGCTACTACAACTGCACAACCTTGCTTTCAAGCAACTAAGTTTCCCATAAGGCTACCCATGACGTATTTCAGTTTTCGTCATTCCAATACAATAATGGACAGTAGAACGTTCGGTAAAGGAAATAAGTACAGCAATATTCATTACAATCAATAATTAGCACATATCTGTATATACCACAATAGCTCTACCTGTTGCTGGTGTATCTATTGATCGCAGTCAACATATCCTGCAATAATTAAACTTAGAAAGATTGAGCTGAGTATGTTTTACTTATACGCCATTTTTCACATTTTATTCCGTTTATCGCATGATGACTTACAATCACACAATGTGTTAGGAGATTTTGTATTGTTGGCCTTATTCACTGATAATAAGTGTTGAAAAATAAAGAATATTTATTCCTATTGCATGTAATGTTTAATTTGGAAACACCAATGATATTTCACGAGTTTGGTAAATGGCAATGAATACTGAAATGCGTGACGTACACATTTAGCGAACGCCATTTTAACACAAATGACGCTTTATGACGCAGACTTCGTCCTCGACGATGGGGCCTAATCGAATTCTTCCATCATTACTGACTAACATAAACATCCATCTTTGTTGTTCTATCCTGAAATGCCACTTCTAAAACAGACTACCTTCAGACCTGTATTGTAATATATAGATTACAGATGCTCCCAAAGATAAAATATGCTTATGCTTAACACAAACAAAATAGCTCAATTATGGCGGATGTGGGATTATAAGGGTTGTGCAAATACAACACATACTACTCGTATATTCCGCTGCATACCATTCTGATATGGAATCCATAGCCAAGAATTTGCATAAGCTTTTCTATTGTAATTTCATTTGCCGACCGCCCAATCTGTTATTTTTGTTCGCGTCATGTTACATGATATTTTGCCTTCAATGGTGTTGGAAAATAACTAACATATGTAAGGATATATGATAGTTTTGAAACAGCGTTTGTGGAATAAGGCCAACGAATTTACCCATAGCGTTTGGTAAGGGCTAATTTGCCATAGTTATTTTACTTATTTACCTTATTTACATGGACCAAAATATCTCGATTGCAATGGCCTTCAAATCTTTGTGATTCACTGGAAAATACCTTCCACCAGAAAAAACTTGTTTTCAGATTTAACCTTTTAGATATTCACGTCAGGTTTCATTACCAGTTTTACAGTGTTTGAGCATCTGTTTCCAGTAGGCGTTTATTAATAATGTAAACTTTTGCCAAATGATACTGCCAAAAATATTAACGATGAGGAGGGGTGGACTTTTGCATGTTTCGACCATCTTCTATTTGTAATCATAGTCTTTTAGTAACCTAATTCTACTGTATATGTGACTGTGAGTAAATTGCTTTATTTTCAACGAACTATACGGAATGATGATAAATGATCTGTCAATTGCACTAATTCTGGTAAGAGTTTTCCTAGATATACTCTATACTCACCCTCGTAGAAGCACCTTCTCCGTCTCGTGGTCAAAGGTCGGCTCCTGGACAACAGGTCATCGAGATCCAGCTCATCATACGACGGAATCTTTTTCTCGACATCATCTATCGTTTTCTCCTCGGTTGTTGTCATAGAATTCTCCATATTTTTACAATTCTCCTCCGAAACATCGTTGGGTTTCATGTTGTGCTGCTCGAGACATAACACTGATCGGTAAAGGTATTTACGGCTAGCAACGATATAAATTCTTGGTACTAGATAGTACCAAGCAAGAAGTAAAGGGCTCCCTCACTGGTGTTTATGCATTGAATTGCTAGTCACTACAAGTAGTTTACCAGAAGCACTCACAGCTTGGATATCTCTAAATGGTAAGTTCGTCTGCTTGATAAAGTCTACTTGACTGTACCATTGATAAGTCACTCCGCTGTTGTAGGCTATGCACGGAGATGGTGTAGACTATATATGTTTGCTGGCAGCCTTGCCTCTGAATCATCCCTGCATTCTAAGGTCGACTGATGAGGAGAAATATTTACCTGGAAACACGTTCAGGTAACATCCAGGTAAAGGCTAAAAAATTAGGTCAGAAAAAATATGTGAATATATGAGAGGCGGCGTTTTCAGAAACGTCTTGCAAAAGATATTTAGCAATTCTGATGCAGTCTAACATTATACAGGATCTCCAGAAAGTCTCTTTATAAAGGTTAGAGACTTTGAATTGTAATTGTAAAGGAATTTTATGGACACCATGTACAACACCCATAGGCGTAGCCAGGGGTGCGGTACCCCACCTCCGCCCCCACAGCCAATAACCATGAGATAAAAGAAGAAAAGAGCTTAAAATGCTTTTTATTTGTAGATTCTAGGTCAATTTTTTCCAGGTCAATTTTGAAGGAAGTTGCATCAATTTTTGTAAAATTCAAGATACATCTTATTGTTAGCTTGTTTATGCCACAATCGCAACCCCCGAACTGAAAACCGAATTCTTTTGGCGATCCCACCCCCCCCCCCCCCGACTGAAAGCAGGCTACGCCCCTGACACCCGAATAACACTTCTCTATTGATACACGTTTATTTCTTGTTGCTTTGTCTTGTACTGTATTTCTATCTATACTAAATCTGGTATAGTATATTGTCTATGTTCCATCGATGAACGTAAGGTGTACCTAAAGTTTATACAAATAACCTTAGATAAACAGATTAATCATTCTGATAACTCGATTATATGAACAAATCAATGATGAATCTAAAAATACTCAAATTCAATCAGTGCTGATAACTTTGTGAATAAGGCTAAACGTGCTCGTAATTACCAGAAAATCATTATTTTAGTATAAAGACCGGATTGTTCTCTGGAAGATAAGTGCTTGTTTGAAATACAACAGCAAGGTACTACAGTATATAGCCTGTATATTGGCCTAGGAGAGCCAACATATTATTCTATAAAATATTCTTGACCTTAATATTGAAGGGGGACTATTTCGGCTTGAATAAGACAAAATTACAATGTCCTGGTCGAGCAGTTCTTGTATTTTTCTTTATGTATTTTAGGTTTCGGTATTATTCTTTGGGTCCAGTTCATTCAGGTAATATAAACTACTCCGATAGAATTTAATTAACAGGTTAACCCTAGTGGTAGTGTCAGATTCCACTTGCCTTACCAATAAGAAAGCCCCGTAGCTGCCCCCCTTGGCTGTCCTTATTAGTTGTATGTGTGTATATTTATACCATTAATGTTCATACCTATCCTCTAAACCGTCTCGTTCTTCTTTTCTCTCAGGCTCCGGCTTCGATGCTTTTATAAGTCACTCCCCCTCGTACTATATCCTTCTCTTACCTTGTTATCTCATACTCCGAAAACGTCATGCCTTGGAAACGTTGCACTTGGAAATGTTGAAATATGGTGATTCGTCAAATCAGTCCTTGAATATGATAGGTTTCATTATTTTGCTCTGTTTACAAGTTCAAAAGAACATTTGTTGGTTTAGTACGTATGAACTGTTTGAAGTAAATAAAAGCTATGTCACTTGAAAGCAGTCACGTTAGCCTTTAAACATGTTTTTAATTTAAAAACAATTTTGTTTACAATGAATAACGTACTTGTCATTTTTAAGCATTAGCCTTGGGCCCATCACCCTAAAATGATGAAAACAATAATGAAAGTATAGAAACTAGAAAAACAGCAACTCCACGGAGTAGCAAATCCCACCGAACGGCAGTTGAGTTACCAAAGATTACTAAAATGAAAATGAAAAATGGCAGCCATTCTGAAGATCAGCCGCCATCTTAAAGGTTTTTCTCGAACAGAGCTACTGTGTTTCTAGGCATCAGCATATAAAATTTGAACCAAATCTGTTCACTGGTATTTGACTTATCAAAGATTACGTTTTTTCTTATGAAAAATGGCTACCATTTTGAAATTCAGCCGCCATCTTGAAAAATTTTTCTCGAACAGATCTACTGTGTCCCTAGGGATCATCATATAAAAAATGAGCCAAATCTGTTCACTGGTATTTGAGTTATCAAAGATTACGTTTTTTACGAAAAATGGCGTCCATTTTGAAATTCAGCCGCCATCTTGAAAATTCTTTCTCGAACAGATCTCCTTTGTCCCTAGGCATCATCATATAAAATTTGAGCCAAATCCGTTCACTGGTATTTGAGTTATCAAAGATTACCTTTTTTACGAAAAATTGCCGCCATTTTGAATATCAAGCCGCCATCTTGAAAATTCTTTCTTGAACAGATCTATTGTGTCCCTAGGCATTATCATATAAAATTTGAGCCAAATCCGTTCACTGGTATTTGAGTTATCAAAGATTAAGTTTTTTTACGAAAAATGGCCGCCATTTTGAAATCTAGCCACCATCTTGAAAATTTTTACTCGAACATATCTACTGTGTCGCTAGGCACCAGCATATAAAATTTGAACCAAATCCGCAAACTAGTATTTGAGTAATTAAAGATTACATTTTTTTACGAAAAATGGCGGCCATTTTGAATTCAGTGGCCATTTTCAAAATTCCTTCTCGAGCAGAGGTCCTACAGCCATAAGGCATAAGTCTATAAAATTTGAATCAAATCCGCGAAACGGTATTTGAGTTATCGCCCGGACAAACAGACGGACGGACGGCTTTCCTATATCCCTCTCGAACTTCGTTCGGTGGGATAATAAAGGTTAAGCTTGTTTTCGCAAACGCAACCATCGGTTGTCGGCTACCGGATTAACCTACTCAGTAGTAAAACCTTATTTAACACCTCTCGACTCTAGTGGACAACCTGCCTCCACACATACTAATGTAGATCGACTTATTTATAAATTATCGTCTCTCCCTACCAACACTGAACTTTTTTCTCGGCACTTTTATGTTCAATAAACTCTACTCGGGTCTTACTGTATTTTATAGGCAACTCATCTAAATATGAATAGTAAAGTTATACCATTCATATTGAAATGAGTTGGTCATAAAATAGTAGGTTAATCCTGTAGCCGACAGCCGAAAGTTGCATTCGTGAATACAAGCTAGTTTAAATAAACGAATGCAAATAATGGGCATCGGCTACCGGGTTAACCTACTATTTTATGGGCAACTTATCTAAATATGAATAGCACCTGCCTCTATTCCATTCATATTTATATGAGTTGGTCATCATACAATTGTAGGTTAATCTGGTAGCCGACAGACGAAAGTTGCATTCGCGAATACAAGCTAAGCTACACGTTTTTGACAGAATTGTACGTGGACTTTTCAAAGTATTATTCACTTTGTATATATATATTACTACACACTTGAAATGGATACTTAGATTTCATTCCATGTAATTTAACAGAAATCAAAATATTGACGGAGTGAAAGCGGTTACAATGACCCATACTTACATCAATTTTCAACGTTTTCTAAGCCCTTGACATCTATATACTGTATATCCTTTATTACATTTTTACTCACTCGGGCAGTAAATACCACAGGCAAAGGCCGATATGAATTATTTTTAAATAAAGATGGCATGGTCTGTGTTTATTTATAAATATTCTCTAAAAAGATAATACTGAATTCTGTTGGTGCTGCCATCTTTATATCGGCCAAGAACCTATGGTAAATACAACAAAGGGGAGAATCGATCCCCAGATGAATATATATAATACTACACGTTCACATATAAGTTGTCCTAAAATGTGTTGCTAACCTCCAGAGGGGGAGAAACACCAGAATTCAAAGATGACATACGCTTATAATGTAAATCTGTATTGAGATGACATCGTCGCTGATTGGTCAGAAGTCGACAAACAAATGACGTCATCAATGGCGGTTTCAAAATTTTCGAAATACGCTTCGAATAATACTATGTTCATTTCTGGCGTGTTAACCAATATCATAGCTTCTCATTTCACAACAAGATAAAGAAAGGTGTACGGAATATGCCTATGTCAATTAAAACATCCCATCGAAGTGTAGTATTTGATAACTAGCCGATGAAAATTCGAACGAACGAAGGTGGTAAGCAAGAGAGGTAAATATGTCTGTCATCTTTAAACTCTGGGGCTTTCCCTCCTCTTGCTAACCTCCATATATAATGACTTTGTTGTATCTAACTGCACATAGATGTTGTATTGTTATGTCACCACCCGGGTGTCACCACCAGAAGTGATGACATTTTGTTATGATCTCCATCTTTTTTGTATACGGTGTTCGGCGGTAGGCGGTTGGTGTTCGGAGGTTGGTTGGTGCGTCTGTAACAAATGGAAGGTGGGTGGCATTTTGCATATTAATGCCTTGTATATATTTGTCGATGCAAAATGTGCCTTCGACAATATCAATCGAACATGTTTTTGCAAGGTTGACTCCAAATGTACCAAATGTGGCCGGCACTTTGAAATCGGTAGACGAGAGGAGCAATGCTTCACTACAAGAGTTATCCTCTAATTTATAAAGAACTCATTTCCCGATACCCTTATACCCAATATTGGGCAGGTAAATTCTAAAGGGGTGTCATTCTACATGTTTATGTTCAAGTTCTCTAAACAAATGTTCAGTTTAACCTTCTTGTTGCACACGCACCACAACACAACTTTAGGCACCAATACGTTTTTATGAGAAATTCTTTCAGGAACAACGATCCAATATTTTGGATTAACGATTGTCACACTAAGTTTACATTTCAATATCTAGCTTATTGGCACACGTATATTAGGAAATATCTACTTAAGGATGATTGAGGTTCATTATACCCCGGCGTTATACCAGGTGAGGAGTACTAATATGAGGCAATAGTTGAGGCTTTGGGCAACTATTCAAACAAGCCAATAACATGATATATAGCTGTTACCTATCTACATTGTGCAGGGCCGTCAGATGGGGGGGGGGGTGCGATGGGTGCGACCGCACCCCCCTTTGTCACCCCCCAAAATAAATTTGAAAATTCAAATTTTTTTTTTTTTGAAAAATAGTTTTTTTTGTAATTTTTTTTTCATTGACTCATACACTTTGAAAGTACCCAGAAAGCACCAAATAGCATCTTAAAATTGTAAAATTTTCTAGGGGTATTGGCCACCCCTCACCCCCCCCCCCCCACAAAACAATGGAAAAGTTCTAAATTTATTTTAGAGTTTTGTCTCAGACACTTTTAAAGTGCCCAGATATCATCAAATAGCTCCTTGATATAGTTAGTGTTTCTGGGGGACTTACTCCCCCTCTTGCATCTTGCACTTGCAACCCCCCCCCCCTCTGGCGCCCCCCCCCCCTTGACCCCCCCCCCCCCCCCAAAAAAAAATAAAATTGTGATTTTCTCAAATTCTTTAATTGACTCATACACTTTGAAAGTGCCCAGAAAGCACCAAATAGCGTCGTAAAATTGTAAAATTTTCTAGGGGGAGTGGGCCACCTCTCACACTCCAAACAAAACAATGGAAAAGTTCTGAATTTGTTTTATGTATTGTCTCAGACACTTTTAAATTGCCCAGACATCATCAAATAGCTGCTTGATAAAGTTAATGATTCTGAAAGACTAACACTTACTCGCCCTCTGGCATCCCCACTCCACCTCCCCCTCTGGCAGCCCCCTCCTTTAACACCCCCCCCCCCCAAAAAAGAAGAGATTTTTCAAATTTTTTTATTGACTCATACCTTTTGAAAGTGCCCAGAAAGCACCAAATAGCATCTTAAAATTGTAAAATTTTCTTGGGAAATAGGCACTTTTAGGCACAGACACTTTTAAAGTGCCCAAACTTCATCGAATAGCACCTTGATATTGCAAATTTTGATATGGGGGACAAACACTTGCTTCCCCTCTGGCACCCCAGCCCCACCTCCCCCTCTGGCACCCCTCCCCCCCCCCCCCTTTGACACCCCCAAAATTTGAAAAAAATTGTGATTGTTTTTTTCAATGCTTTTATTGACTAATACACTTTAAAAGTGCCCAGAAGCACCAAATATCATCTTTAAATTGTAAAATTTTCTAGGAGAGTTAGCCACCCCTCACATCCCCCACAAAACAAAATATTCTGAATTTCATGTATTGTCTCAGATATTTTTTAAGTGCCCAGACATCATCAAATAGCACCTTGATATGGTCAATATCTCTGGGGGACAACCCCTTGCTCCCCTACTGGCACCCCACCCCACTTTACCCTCTCATCCTCTTTGACACCCCCAAAAGAATTTGAAAAAAATTCACATTTTTCTTATTGACTCATAACGCACAGGCGTACCAGATGGTTGCAAATTCGCTCCAAATACAACCAAATTTCAAAATTTTCCTGGGGGAGAACCCCCAGACCGCCCTGAATGCTCGGTTTTTTATTCACTCAACTCTTATTCCCATGGTGGTGGCTTACTTCTTAGAAACTTACACTTTGAAAGTGCCCAGAAAGCACCAAATAGCATCTCAAAACTGTAAAATTTTCTAGGGGGAGTGGACCACTCCTCACACCCCCCACAAAACAATTGGAACGTTTGGAAGTTGCATGCATTTGTTAATTCCAAACC